CGGGCCCCACACGCCCCTGCTCCATGACTACGATGGTGATGATGATGATGAAGGGGGGCTCTGCATGAGAGCACCTGAAGTGTGTTACCCCCCTCCCCCCGCCTACAGCGAGGTGAGACATCCCCCCAAACCCCTGGTTAGGCTACGTTTGTCTGAGGCTGAAGAACATCAAACTGAACTGTTTGTAGATCTGACATCTACTCATTTGGTTTTCTTCTCTTCAGGTCAACCAAGACCCCAGGAACCCCCCACAGGTGGCTCCTGTCTTCTGAGGACACCAGTCCTTCAAAGCCTGTCAACATGTTGACCAAGAGCTGGTTTTAGAATGACTCAGCTGGTTTTAGAATGACTCAGCTGGTTGTATAAGGACTCATCAGTTTTTTTTGATGACAAAATTTGAACACTCATCGATGAAAACATTTGTTGAGTTTGTAAATAATGTTTATTGTTTATGACTGTTTTTACTACATGAACAGGAAGTTACAGCTGGACACCTTTTGTGAATAAGCAGATTTGTATTTTTGTATTTGTTCAATAAAGTTTTTACTTTTAGCTGTTTTTAAATGGTTTCTGTTATTTGTTTCTCTTTAGAGATGTGTCATCAGAAACAAACAGCTGTTTAAAACCAACAGGAACTGAGTTACAATCAGTTGTTACTTTACAAAATGTTTTCTTCCTCCTTCACCTGTCCATTAAAACAAGTGAACAGGTGAGGGGAGGAGCTTATAAAGACAGGTGGTGCTGTTGTCCTTGTGATGTCACTGTTCAGATCTGAATGGTTCTTTGAAAAGAACTGAATGTTAGGATCTGGATCCCTTCAGAGAGACGTACAGGTCTTCATCACTGTTTCAGTCTGAGGCTTTACAGGAGAGATCATCTAAAGACTATAAATCCCAAAGACAGGATGTGTCCTTCACAATAAAACATCTGTGTGAGCAGCATTTGGAGGTCAACCAGAGGTCTGACAGCAGAGGACTTCCTTCAGTTTCATCTTCTTAGAAAGCTGCTGCCCAGAACCAGGAAGTCCTTCAGGATCAAACAACACGACTCGTCCAAGAAGTTTATTTCAGGAAGCAGAGGAACGTCAGACTGAAGAGGAAACTGTCTGCTCGTCTAAAACATTTAAAGAGAATCTGTTACAGTTTTACTTTGTAATGTGTGTGTGTGTACTTGTTTCTGCTACAGACTGAGGACCAGCATGTTTTTAACCAACAAATGAACAGTTACAGCTCTGCTGCATCCTTAGGGTTAGAGGTAGGGTTGTATAATGACTCAGCAGGTTGTATAATGACTCAGCGGGTTGTATAATGACTCAGCTGGTTGTATAATGACTCAGCAGGTTGTATAATGACTCAGCTGGTTTTATAATGACTCAGCTGGTTGTATAATGACTCAGCTGGTTGTATAATGACTCAGCAGGTTGTATAATGACTCAGCTGGTTGTTTAATGACTCAGCTGGTTGTATAATGACTCAGCAGGTTGTATAATGACTCAGCTGGTTGTATAATGACTCAGCTGGTTGTATAATGACTCAGCAGGTTGTATAATGACTCAGCTGGTTGTATAATGACTCAGCGTGTTGTATGATGACTCAGCTGG